CCAGGTCACCATGGCTGCCCCCATAACCCCAGGCACCATCACTTTAAAACCAGAAAAAACAAACAAACAAATGGGAATAAAAGCCTCTACTTATCTTAGAAGCAGGGGTGGGTGGGGCTCCAGGGCCTCCTGGCAGACCCCCCGGGCAGTACAGGGCAGCAGTGGGGGCAGCAGGGCCCGGGCTGGGCCCGCTGGGGCTGTCCCTCTGCCAGGCACTGTGCAGACAGGGCAGCTCCAACTGCCGGTAAGTGCCAGGTGTATTTTTTAAACTATGGGGTGGGGACGGACAGGGAAGGGTAGCGATCGGGGTGTCAGGGGGGTTGGTGGGGGGTGGGGAAGCAGGCGGGGCTGGCGGGAGTCCCCCCCATAGTCCCCTCCCCATTCCTCCAGCCCCCAACCCCTTACTCACCAGCACTGGAGCCCTGGTGCTGAATGTGCAGCCTGGCCGGCCGCGCGTTTCAACACCAGGGTGAGGGGCCAGCCACGGAGAGGTTCTGGCAGCCAGAGCATCTCTGTGAAGGATCCAGCCTCTGCTTGCCTCAGGGCACAGTCCGGGAAGCTTTTTTAGTTTCAGTTTTTTTAGACCATCTAGGGGTCTCATTTTCTCCCTGCACTACAAAGTTGCAGCACGGGGAACATTTTTTCATTCCCGCACATGCCTCTTGCCTGGCCCTCAAAGGGGTTTGAGGCCGGGCAAGAGGCATGTGCGAACTCGTCTGGACATGCCCAAAATGTTTATCATAAAAGCCTTCTCAGTTTGAGTCTTCACAATTCAGCATGAAAGATTTGACTCACGTGAATTGGAAAGTAATCCCTGAAGAACCTCCAAACAGTCCACCTTCTCACCCACTGTGATCTTCTCCCTCCAGCCTGTGGCGTCTCCCAGTCAGAATACAGCCATAGTACATAGAGAGCACCCAGGAACCAATAGTTTCCGATAAACAGGATCACAAAGACTCCACAGCAACACTGTGCTACAAGGCACAAAGAGAAAGACAATAGGGAGCATTTTAGTCATAATATTTGAAAGCAACTAATATGACTATCTTGGCTTCCATTGCAGAAAATACTCCTGGTTCTTCTCAATACAGATGTGCTGATGTTACATAGCACTTTTCTTCATGTCCCAATAACTGAAAGAGGATTTCTTTTGTGGTTCATTAGTATGCAAACTAGTTGTTCTTCTTATATTTACATTTTAAAAAAATTCTAATATAATAAAGGGCTTAGTCTGTCTGTATGTCTGTAATACCTCTGGCCAACTGCGCATGCACTGCTGAGAGGGCGGGTAGCAATTGGCTGCATGGGCCCAAGTTTGAGCCACTGCTGGGGAAGTTTGTGGCGGCGGTAAATATGCCCCAGCCACCCGAGCAGTGGGGTTTCCCCACACCTCCCTGCCTGAGGTTGAAAGGGGGGGGGGTTGACGGTGGCAGCACCCCCAACACCCATCCTTGACGCCCCCCAGAAAAGCTGGCAGAGAGGAGGCAGTGGCGAAAAGGAAATGATGGTGGTGGCTGTTGGTTGGGGCTGGACGGTGGGGACAGAGAGGCTGGCTGCATGGGGTGGTGAAGGGGAGGGGGTGGGGGGTTATGGTGGCAGCTGTCGTCAGGGCTGGGCACCAGGGAAAGAAGGGAGGTGGTGGTGCCCCCCTGCTGCCTTGCTCTGACAACAACCGGCAGAGAGGCTGTGAGGTGGACGCAGGTAGGGGGAGGGAGCCCCTGCGCCAAAGGCGGTGGTGGGAGTCTTTACATGGCCGGCCTCAAAGGGTGAGCGGGGTGACCATATAAACACTCCCTGAAATCCGTCATTGATGGGCAGTTAGCTAGTTATGCAATATAAAAGTCTCACCACAAGGAGGATCTAGAGCCCTCCGATCTGATTGTTTTCATTCTGCATTGTAAAACCAGGAAAGCCACTGGGGTTCACTGGTGGAGGATATCCAAAGGAACTGCAAAAATAAGTTGGCCTATTTTGTATCATGCAAATTTTGCAGTTAGAAGAGGAGCAGCCCCAAAGGCACTTCAGCTGTACTGTGTTTCTCTACTAGCACACAACAGTGAGAATGACTTTGTAAAGATGCTTGATCACTTCAACCTTAAAAAATTAGTGGATGGGAGCAGTCACCACCTTTTCTAAGATCAGGGGACAGGGCTGGGCATTCAATTACATGGTGAGGAGCTTGGAGGGAAAGGGAGGAAACAAGACTGAGCAAGGTCTTAATATTCCAGTCAGTGAGGTGAGGGAGCATGGCTAATATCCAGTAAGACCTCCTGGACAGAGCTCTGGGCTGAGACTGTGGAAGCTGAAGTCTTGTCCCTGCATCTCCCACTGTCCTACTGGGTGACCTGAGAAAGTTACTTTCCTAGTCTCCTTGCCTCAGTTTTTTCTATCCATAAAATGAAAATGATGTTTCTAACTTCCTCTGTAAAGCACTTTGAGGGTGATGAGCACTAGACAAGATTTGAGTGTTATTAAAATTAGGTTCACGTTTAGTTGGCATCTGTACTATTAGTGCTGCTACCCTGTAGGTCCTACAAAGCTGGCAGACTTCCCTGGGCTGACACAAATCTCCTCCCCTTTCCCTTGACTGGGGAAAGGCTGCGGCCCAGCTCAGGCATCTTCTCAACTGTCCAAAAGGAAGGAGAAGGACCTGCCAGCCCTACAAAGCCAGTGGGCCTCCCTGTGTGGGCAGTGCCCTAGGCTGCCACCAAAAAAGGGGGAGGGGGGCTATAAATCTCATACATACTGAAAATGCAAAAACCCTTTAACTGCTCTGTGAAATGAAAACCTTCATAATTTTACAAGGAAACAAAATTTACCACCTGAAACCAGAGACCCTGCTACTGCCTTTGTTCAAGCTAATTTGCATTCCAACAGAGCACAGATACCTGTCCACAAGAGAGATTCTTGCCCAGAAGAGCATTTCATCTTTCCACTCTTCTGTGAAATATGAAACATCATAACTAAAAGGAAATAAGATTCTACATCCTGCTTACCACCAGACAATTTCCAATTTTTCTGAGCTTAATTTGCAAAAAATGAACTGCTCCAAACAGGACACTTTACCACACTTGCAGCTCTCCTGTGAAACGTGAATTTTCATTTCTATCAAGAAATTTTACAATCTTTGCAATCTCCTATGCCTGATTATGGGTGTATGTGCCTGAAAGCTTGCAAATAAAGGGTTTTTTTTGCAAATATCCAGTTGGTCTAATAAAAGATATAACCTCTGCCACAAGTTTTAAAACCTTCTTAAGGTGTTCTCAGAGCCATCCTACAGTACTTACTTTAAGAATACAAAACCAGATTAAACAAAGGAGTAAGTACAGCAGCCTAGTATAACTGCATAGGTAGGGAGCACACTCATGTGGATATTTTCTTAGTTTGCTATTTCCTTGGTTTGCTGAGGTACATGGATTTATAACAGCTTATTATCTAGAACATTTAACTTTGAAGCCAAATCTTGGAACTCTTAGAAAGGACACTCTAAACCAATACCATCCTTTGGAGGTGCCTTTGGGATGCGACTATTAAGTAGCACCTGCAGCAACTCAAAATGCTATATACGAAGTTGATTAAAACTGACATCCTGGAACATATGCTGCCCTCCACTACCTAATGCAGAAAATATAATTATACAAGAGAAATTTAAAGTAATGAAGGAAAGAACAAACATATATTTATTAGCGGATAGAAAGAACAATTATGAAGGTGCCACACTAAATGGGGACTGTAAAATCTCTGGGCTTGGATCCATGCCTTCACATGTGTGTGAAGCAAGGTTCTTTTGGTAATATACATTTGATCCAACAAAAGATAATTGAAAGAGGTGTTAGACAGTTTTCAGGCACAAAAAGCCCTTCTTCAGGTTGAGGAGCCAGGCTACACAGTGGTGACAACATATGAAGGATACCAAAATTCATTATTTGCAATGAAATATCCACAATAGGGAGAAAAAAGAAACCAGACTGCACAATGACCTACAGCATTTCATGTGTGTTTTTAGGATTTAGCACAATACGCATCATATTTTGTGACAGGTAACATTTTATGATCCATGTTGTATACTTGGGCAGAAAAGACTCTGAAATATGTAGAGGGACCTAACATTAGGGCTAAATCTACCTGTGTACCTCTTTTAAGCGACTAGACCATTCATTTGTGGAACTTATTGTGTCAAACAGGTTCTCAATAAGAAATTTAGAAAACTTGACTGCTTACTCGGGTACAAAAACTCAATGAAGTCAATGAAATTAATTTCCATTTATTTTAATAGGTTCTAAGGGAAGCCTCATAGATAGCCTCTCGCAACCAGGAGGATCCCACAGCACTCTACAGAATTGGGAAAATTTGTGGATAATATGGAAGACGGAGGCTCCACCTTAACTATCATCGAGAACATGGACAACATGTTTGGGTCCAGCTTCAAGAACTTCTGAAACAAGCTGCAGGATCATTCAAACACCAGCACGATTTTACAACAGAGAACATAAATAAAGAATAACTTTGCCATCTGAAGAGACTTCCTAGGTCCTTTACTGAGAACTGATATACAGCCAAGATTCCAGGTTTAATACCCTCACTTTTGAATAAGTGCCATGGGATCTTTAATTAGCACAAATGGATGGGGCCTTGGTTTAGGTCTCATCCAAAAGGTGGTAAGGAGAAATACTTTCCACAGTTCTTGTTGAAAGGATTCTTGGCATGGCAATGACTCAGTGTAGCATTACATGGTTTATTAGCCTTGATAACTTTTCACCTCCTTGGCAAGGCACTATATGCATATATGACCTTGATACATGAAAATTAAACATGGGAGCTATAAAAAAATAAATATATTATATTAATATAGCAGGTCAGACATTTCCTCAATGTACAAAGGATCATACAAGGCCAACAGACATACCACTTTTCTTGTGCTGAAACAGGACCCAATCTTGCAAGACACTGAACACCTTGAGAAATACTGAGCACATTCCTTTCACAATGTGAGATAATGATGCTGTCAGCGCATCTTGGAAAGAGGCCAGTATTTGGTAATCCCCCTCCCTCTATTTTGTAGCATTTCAGCCATTTTTGAAGTGCTTCCTTAGTCATGATCATCTTTATCCTTGCTGTTTGGAGCATTACAAAGGCTCCTGGAGTGCTTCAAACAGCACATCTGTTCATAGCTGTCATAGCTGAGACAGGTCTCATACAAAAAAACCTGAGGGAGAGAAAAGCTTTTTTTTTTTTTTTTTTTTGCAATTGTAGTCAGGAGGTTCGGGGAAGTTTAGTACCAGCAGTTAGTTTCCACTTATAGAAAAAGAAAAAAAACACAGAAAATTAGAGTTGAAATGGACCTCAGAAGGTCATTTAGTCCAACCCCCTACTCAAAGCAGGACCATCCCCTACTAGATCATTCCAGCCAGAGCTCTGTCAAGCAGGGACTTAAACTCTAAGGATGGAAATGCCACCACCTCTCTAGGTCAGTCATTGAAAGGTAAAGAATTGATTAAAATGGAAATGAAAGAACATGCACAAGAAAAGTAAGGGAACTACATTCTTGCCAAACATCAGGAAAATAAGCCATTTAAAAGAAGTCACATGCACAAGTTCTGACAGAAATAATCAGAGTCAAGCTATAATTTTAACAAGGGTGACACACATCTAGGGCCCCCTCTACACATGCAGGTAAGAGCACAATTGGATCTACTGCACGATCCACACAACCACACCTCCGGTCATGCCACACATGGCACAGCTTGGACTGAGAGACCAGTCAAGTGCAGGGACTTTTGGTACTGGCTGTGCATTTGGGCCTGGGGGTTTCCATGCATTCCCTGAGCCTTGGGGATCGTGGCAACCACAAACCCCTGGGGCTGTGGGGTTTTACACTTGACACAGTGCACCCATGTGTCTAATAAGTCTGTCAGTTGATGAGGTTCCCAGTTCCTGGGGAGATCCTGCTACAAGTGTAAATTAAAGCTCAATAGCAA